CTACCCCCGTCACACATCCCAGACTATCCCCGTCACACATCCCAGACTACCCCGTCACACATCCCAGACTACCCCCGTCACACATCCCAGACTACCCCCGTCACACATCCCAGACTACCCCCGTCACACATCCCAGACTACCCCCGTCACACATTACAGACTACCATCGTCACACATCCCAGACTACCCCCGTCACACATCCCAGACTACCCCGTCACACATCCCAGACTACCCCCGTCACATATTACAGACTACCCCCGTCACACATCCCAGACTACCATCGTCACACATCCCAGACCACCCCCGTCACACATCCCAGACCACCCCCGTCACACATCCCAGACTACCCCGTCACACATCCCAGACCACCCCCGTCACACATCCCAGACTACCACCGTCACACATCCCAGACTACCACCGTCACACATCCCAAACTACCACCGTCACACATCCCAGACTACCACCGTCACACATCCCAGACTACCACCGTCACACATCCCAGACTACCACCGTCACACATCCCAGACTACCACCGTCACACATCCCAGACTACCCCGTCACACATCCCAGACTACCCCGTCACACATTCCAGACCACCCCGTCACACATCCCAGACTACCCTCGTCACTCATCCCAGACTACCCCCGTCACACATCCCAGTCCACTCCCATCACACATCCCAGGCTACCCCCGTCACACATCCCAGACCAGACCCGTCACACATCCCAGACCACCCCCGTCACACATCCCAGACTACCCCGTCACACATCCCAGACCACCCCCGTCACACATCCCAGACTACCACCGTCACACATCCCAGACTACCCCGTCACACATCCCAGACTACCCCGTCACACATCCCAGACTACCCCGTCACACATTCCAGACCACCCCGTCACACATCCCAGACTACCCTCGTCACTCATCCCAGACTACCCCCGTCACACATCCCAGTCCACTCCCATCACACATCCCAGGCTACCCCCGTCACACATCCCAGACCACCCCGTCACACATCCCAGACCACCCCGTCACACATCCCAGACTACCCCGTCACACATCCCAGACCACCCCCGTCACACATCCCAGAATACCACCGTCACACATTCCAGACTACCACCGTCACACATCCCAGACTACCCCCGTCACACACCCCAGACTACCCCGTCACACATCCCAGACTACCCCGTCACACATCTCAGACCACCCCGTCACACATCCCAGACTACCCCGCCACACATCTCAGACTACCCCGTTACACATCCCAGACTACCCCGTCACACATCTCAGACCACTCCGTGACACATCCCAGACTACCCCGTCACACATCCCAGACTACCCCGTCACACATCTCAGACCACCCCGTCACACATCCCACACTACCCCGTCACACATCTCAGACTACCCAGTCACACATCTCAGACCACCCCGTCACACATCTTAGACTACCCCGTCACACATCCCAGACTACCCCGTCACACATCTCAGACCACCCCGTCACACATCCCAGACTACCCCGTCACACATCTCAGACTACCCCGTCACACATCCCAGACCTCCACCGTCACACATCCCAGACTACCCCCGTCACACATCCCAGACTACACCGTCACACATCCCAGACTACACCGTCACACATCCCAGACTACCCCCGTCACACATCCCAGACTACCCCCGTCACACATCCCAGACTACCCCCGTCACACATCCCAGACTACCCCCGTCACACATCCCAGACTACCCCCGTCACACATCCCAGACTACCCCGTCACACATCCCAGACTACCCCCGTCACACATGCCAGACTACCCCGTCACACATACCAGACCACCACCGTCACACATCCCAGACCACCACCGTCACACATACCAAACTACCCCGTCACACATACCAGACTACCCCGTCACACATACCAGACTACCCCCGTCACACATAACAGACTACCCCGTCACACATACCAGACTACCCCCGTCACACATCCCAGACTACACCGTCACACATACCAGACTACCCCGTCACACATCCCAGACTACCACCGTCACACATCCCAGACCACCCCCGTCACACATCCCAGACTACACCGTCACACATCCCAGACTACCCCCGTCACACATACCAGACTACCCATTCACACATACCAGACTACCCCTTCACACATACCAGACTTCCCCGTCACACATACCAGACTACCCCGTCACACATACCAGACTACCCCGTCACACATCCCAGACTACCCCGTCACACATACCAGACTACCCCGTCACACATACCAGACTACCCCGTCACACACATACCAGACTTCCCCGTCACACACATACCAGACTTCCCCGTCACACATACCAGACTACCCCGTCACACATCCCAGACTACCCCGTCACACATACCAGACCACCACCGTCACACATCCCAGACTTCCCAGTCACACATCCCAGACCACCCCGTCACACATCTCAGACCACCCCCGTCACACATACCAGACTACCCCGTCACACATCCCAGACCTACCCCGTCACACATCCCAGACCGCCCCCGTCTCACATCCGAGACCACCGCCGTCAAACATACCAGACCACCACCGTCACACATCCCAAACTACCACCGTCACACATCCCAGACTACCCCGTCACACATCCCAGACTACCCCGTCACACATTCCAGACCACCCCGTCACACATCCCAGACTACCACCGTCACACATCCCAGACTACCCCGTCACACATCCCAGACTACCCCGTCACACATTCCAGACCACCCCGTCACACATCCCAGACTACCACCGTCACACATCCCAGACTACCCCGTCACACATCCCAGACTACCCCCGTCACACATCCCAGACCGCCCCCGTCACACATCCCAGACCACCCCCGTCACACATCCAGACTACCCCGTCACACATCCCAGACCGCCCCCGTCACACATCCCAGACCACCCCCGTCACACATCCCAGACTACCCCCGTCACACATCTCAGACCACCCCCGTCACACATCCCAGACTACACATCCCGTCACATCCCAGACTACCCCGTCACACATCCCAGACCACCCCCGTTACACATCCCAGACTACCCCGTCACACATCCCAGACTACCACCGTCACACATCCCAGACTACCACCGTCACACATCCCAGACTACCCCCGTCACACATCCCAGACTACCACCGTCACACATCCCAGACTACCCCCGTCACACATTACAGACTACCCCCGTCACACATCCCAGACTACCCCGTCACACATCCCAGACTACCACCGTCACACATCCCAGACTACCACCGTCACACATCCCAGACCACCCCCGTCACACATCCCAGACTACCCCCGTCACACATTACAGACTACCCCCGTCACACATCCCAGACTACCCCGTCACACATCCCAGACTACCCCCGTCACACATTACAGACTACCCCCGTCACACATCCCAGACTACCCCCGTCACACATTACAGACTACCCCCGTCACACATCCCAGACTACCCCGTCACACATCCCAGACTACCACCGTCACACATCCCAGACCGCCCCCGTCTCACATCCCAGACCACCCCCGTCACACATCCCAGACCACCCCCGTCACACATCCCAGAATCACTATAAAGTTCGCGACCCGACAGGACCGCAATATGTGTCCCTGAGTGAGTCCTTGGAGATGTTGGTGCGTGATGCTGTTAAAACTGTTGATATATTCCTGTTTAGCTTGGTGGTCGGCGTCTAGTAACTGCTGCTTATGGTAAGTCATACACACAGACCAAGGCCACTGCCTTAGCAGCGTCCAGTAGCGTACCTAGTGCTATCTTTATGCGTGTAGTATTTGAGAGGAACAGATGCCATAGAGAGGACGTCCCGGCAGTGTACCAGAGATATATTGACGGTATCTTTGGAGTCATGGGAGGCGGACTCCCACGTATAGAGGGTTTCTTTGTCTGGGCGAACACACTCCACAGAAACATCAAATTTACAATAGACTATGACGACTCCACAATACATTTCCTGGACACCGCGGTGTATGTGGACGAGACAACCCGACACTTGAACAGCAAGGCTTATTACCAACCTACGAACCTTCACACATACTTGAAGGTCGACTCATGCCATCCGCTAGCCCCAAGAAGTCATTACCCTTCTCCCTAGGATTACGCCTTAAAGGAATAACCAGCAAGTACGCAACAATCTACCCCCCAGGTAGACGACCTGTGGGAGATGTTTAGGTACAAAGGTTACCCGCAGGTAACGCTGAACCACGCCCAGGAGACACTACCCTGGAACACCAGAGAACAACTTCTCAGGCCACAGCCGGCCCCACGGATGGAGGATAGGACATGGAACCTCGTCTACCCTGTCCTCTCCTGGTTTGGCTGGAAAAGGAAAACAGAAACTCTGAGACGTATGGACCTGGATGAGGGAGACAGTGACCAGCCTTCTTGGGAGAATTTCCCGCAAAATCCACCAATGATCGCGTGGAGGCGCGGTATAAGTCCACCAAGGACCACCTGGTCCCCGCAGGTCTGCCACCGGACGAGGAGGATAACCGTGCCTCAGTAACCCCTGGGAACCCCCCAGCACAGACCTGACCTGACGCAGGAGCCTGCACAACACACCCAGGGAAGCCCAGTATGTGGAGTGGGTAGGCGGCACCTGCATGTAAACAAACGTATGTAACAATGTCAGGCAGTGTTGTGGTCTACGGGGCTCACCAGCGAGGGGCATGTGTTCGATTCCCGGCCTGGACACAGACGGTTTGGCAGATTTTATTTCATCTGAAGCCTCTACTTGTTGTAAATAGGTACAGGGGGAAAAGTGGGTTGTATGTTGCATCTATGTTGTAGATGCAACATACAACAGGACAGCCACATAACCACCACACAAACAGACAACATGGGGGGTTATGATGAAATGTCAGAGACATAAACCCACACATTGCCACACAAGGTTCACAACGCCATACTGGCCTAACAAGAGCCAGAGATAACACACGGGTCCACTTGGTCTGCTGTTGCTATTTGGCTGCGTCATATCTCTTCATGTTGACGGATGAGTCTGTACTCATCACTGTAATACTGGGCGGCAACATGTCGTCAGCCCAGGGTGTATGTGGCACGTGTTGACACCCCCGGTGGTCTGGGCACGGTGGTCTGGGCACGGTGGTCTGGGCACGGTGGTCTGGGACGGTGGTCTGGGCACGGTGGTCTGGGACGGTGGTCTGGGACGGTGGTTTGGGCACGGTGGTCTGGGGACGGTGGTCTGGGCACGGTGACGGTGGTCTGGGACGGTGGTCTGGTGACGGTGGTCTGGTGACGGTGGTCTGGGACGGTGGTCTGGGACGGTGGTCTGGGACGGTGGTCTGGTGACGGTGGTCTGGGCACGGTGGTCTGGGGACGGTGGTCTGGGCACGGTGGTCTGGGGACGGTGGTCTGGGCACGGTGGTCTGGTGACGGTGGTCTGGGCACGGTGGTCTGGGCACGGTGGTCTGGGACGGTGGTCTGGGACGGTGGTCTGGGCACGGTGGTCTGGGGACGGTGGTCTGGGACGGTGGTCTGGTGACGGTGGTCTGGGCACGGTGGTCTGGGACGGTGGTCTGGGACGGTGGTCTGGGACGGTGGTCTGGTGACGGTGGTCTGGGCACGGTGGTCTGGGACGGTGGTCTGGTGACGGTGGTCTGGGGACGGTGGTCTGGGGACGGTGGTCTGGGCGGTGGTCTGGTGACGGTGGTCTGGGACGGTGGTCTGGGGACGGTTGTCTGGGCACGGTGGTCTGGGCACGGTGGTCTGGGACGGTGGTCTGGGCACGGTGGTCTGGGCACGGTGGTGTGGGCACGGTGGTCTGGGACGGTGGTCTGGGCACGGTGGTCTGGGCACGGTGGTCTGGGACGGTGGTCTGGGCACGGTGGTCTGGGCACGGTGGTCTGGGACGGTGGTCTGGGCACGGTGGTCTGGGCACGGTGGTCTGGTGACGGTGGTCTGGGCACGGTGGTCTGGGCGGTGGTGTGGCACGGTGGTCTGGGACGGTGGTCTGGGCACGGTGGTCTGGTGACGGTGGTCTGGGCACGGTGGTCTGGGCACGGTGGTCTGGGCACGGTGGTCTGGGACGGTTGTCTGGGCACGGTGGTCTGGGCACGGTGGTCTGGGACGGTGGTCTGGGCACGGTGGTCTGGTGACAGTGGTCTGGGCACGGTGGTCTGGGCACGGTGGTCTGGGACGGTGGTCTGGGCACGGTGGTCTGGGGACGATGGTCTGGGGACGGTGGTCTGGGCACGGTGGTCTGGGCACGGTGGTCTGGGACGGTGGTCTGGGACGGTGGTCTGGGCACGGTGGTCTGGGACGGTGGTCTGGGCACGGTGGTCTGGGGACGGTGGTCTGGGGACGGTGGTCTGGGGACGGTGGTCTGGGGACGGTGGTCTGGGACGGTGGTCTGGGGACGGTGGTCTGGGACGGTGGTCTGGGGACGGTGGTCTGGGACGGTGGTCTGGGGACGGTGGTCTGGTGACGGTGGTCTGGGCACGGTGGTCTGGGACGGTGGTCTGGGGACGGTGGTCTGGGGGCGGTGGTCTGGGGACGGTGGTCTGGGGACGGTGGTCTGGGGACGGTGGTCTGGGACGGTGGTCTGGGGACGGTGGTCTGGTGACGGTGGTCTGGGGACGGTGGTCTGGTGACGGTGGTCTGGTGACGGTGGTCTGGTGACGGTGGTCTGGTGACGGTGGTCTGGTGACGGTGGTCTGGTGACGGTGGTCTGGTGACGGTGGTCGGTGGTCTGGTGACGGTGGTCTGGGGACGGTGGTCTGGTGACGGTGGTCTGGGGACGGTGGTCTGGTGACGGTGGTCTGGTGACGGTGGTCTGGTGACGGTGGTCTGGGACGGTGGTGTGGGGACGGTGGTCTGGGGACGGTGGTCTGGGGACAATGGTCTGGGCACGGTGGTCTGGGGACAATGGTCTGGGCACGGTGGTCTGGGGACAATGGTCTGGGGACGGTGGTCTGGGGACAATGGTCTGGGCACGGTGGTCTGGGGACAGTGGTCTGGGCACGACTGCGTCTTTGATGTCAGCCACAGTTTGGACGAGCAAAGCTTGAGAATGATTACCATCACTACAGAATGGTACACTCTTAGTCTGTCCCCTATCCTTTGCCTGAAGATGGACTTCACTAGCCACATTCCACTACCCACTGGATCATCGTAGCACGCAGTAATCCTCACCATTAGAGTTCCAGTGAGAGGCGAGTATCCCTCTACATCAACTGTCCTCAGTCTATCCTCATCCAAGCAGGAGGCGACTTCGAAGACTTATACATAAATTGTAACGTAGAAAGTATTCAAAATTATTTTCTTCTCAAATTTATATATTATATATTATAATTTTATGTATAATTAGACGTAGGTTACGTTAGATGTTTAGGTTCTGTTGGTAATTGTATTTACAGCTGAGTTTGAAGAATTGTTGATGAATTGATGTTGATGAAGAGTTTAAAGAGGTGCGATTCGAACATAGGAAAAAAGAGCTAAGCATTGTTGGAGAATAGCAATTTTCGAGCCATAAACAGCGGACGTGACAGCTGAATTAACGAGCATTTGGCTATTGGTTATGAGGACAAGCTGCATTATTTGTGAGGACTGAGTCGTGTACCTGCATTGACCGCTGGGTGTACACTGACGTCACGCGACCACGTGTAGTACATGAACATTACGCTGACGTCACGCGACCACGTGTAGTACATGAACATTACACTGACGTCACGCGACCACGTGTAGTACATGAACATTACGCTGACGTCACGCGACCACGTGTAGTACATGAACATTACACTGACGTCACGCGACCACGTGTAGTACATGAACATTACACTGACGTCACGCGACCACGTGTAGTACATAAACATTACGCTGACGTCACGCGACCACGTGTAGTACATGAAACATTACGCTGACGTCACGCGACCACGTGTAGTACATGAACATTACGCTGACGTCACGCGACCACGTGTAGTACATGAACATTACACTGACGTCACGCGACCACGTGTAGTACATAAACATTACGCTGACGTCACGCGACCACGTGTAGTACATAAACATTACGCTGACGTCACGCGACCACGTGTAGTACATAAACATTACGCTGACGTCACGCGACCACGTGTAGTACATGAACATTACGCTGACGTCACGCGACCACGTGTAGTACATGAACATTACGCTGACGTCACGCGACCACGTGTAGTACATGAACATTACGCTGACGTCACGCGACCACGTGTAGTACATGAACATTACGCTGACGTCACGCGACCACGTGTAGTACATGAACATTACGCTGACGTCACGCGACCACGTGTAGTACATGAACATTACGCTGACGTCACGCGACCACGTGTAGTACATAAACAATGCAGCAGCCGGGAGTCGATCAACGGCCGTTCTTCGGGCGTTGTAAGTGTAAATTTTCGTTGAATGTAAACAAAGGTTGAAGAGGCGGCCCTTGTGTTATGAAGGTAATTGTGAGGCATCACAACACTACCACATTCTATGTCTCATCTCAATTAGGCTTTTGAGGGGCGTTACCATGAAAATGTCAAGATAACGGTCAAACGATCGTTGGATTTGGGTGAACTAGACGAACACATCTGACAAGCCGCCGGCTTCCTTTCCCGCGAAGTGGTCACTAAATAGACGGTGCCTTCTGGAAATAATTATATATATTAAAACGTACTGAGGGTAAATATACAGCCGGTCGAGAGTGAACGCGGCGCCGGTCGAGAGTGAACGCGGCGCCGGTCGAGAGTGAACGCGGCGCCGGTCGACAGTGAACGCGGCGCCGGTCGAGAGTGAACGTGACGCCGGTCGAGAGTGAACGTGACGCCGGTCGAGAGTGAACGCGACGCCGGTCGAGAGTGAACGCGACGCCGGTCGAGAGTGAACGCGACGCCGGTCGAGAGTGAACGCGACGCCGGTCGAGAGTGAACGCGGCGCCGGTCGAGAGTGAACGCGGCGCCGGTCGAGAGTGAACGCGGCGCCGGTCGAGAGTGAACGCGGCGCCGGTCGAGAGTGAACGCGACGCCGGTCGAGAGTGAACGCGACGCCGGTCGAGAGTGAACGCGACGCCGGTCGAGAGTGAACGCGACGCCGGTCGAGAGTGAACGCGACGCAGGTCGAGAGTGAGGGTGGCGCGACGCCGGTCGAGAGTGAACGCGGCGCCGGTCGAGAGTGAGCGCGGCGCCGGTCGAGAGTGAACGCGACGCCGGTCGAGAGTGAACGCGACGCCGGTCGAGAGTGAACGCGGCGCCGGTCGAGAGTGAACGCGGTCGACGCGCGGCGGTCGAGAGTGAACGCGACGCCGGTCGAGAGTGAACGCGACGCCGGTCGAGAGTGAGCGCGGCGCCGGTCGAGATTGAACGCGACGCCGGTCGAGAGTGAACGCGGCGCCGGTCGAGAGTGAGCGCGGCGCCGGTCGAGAGTGAACGCGGCGCCGGTCGAGAGTGAGCGCGGCGCCGGTCGAGAGTGAGCGCGGCGCCGGTCGAGAGTGAGCGCGGCGCCGGTCGAGAGTGAGCGCGGCGCCGGTCGAGAGTGAGCGCGGCGCAGATCGAGAGTGAGGGCGGCGCCGGTCGAGAGTGAGCGCGGCGCCGGTCGAGAGTGAGCGCGGCGCCGGTCGAGAGTGAGCGCGGCGCCAGTCGAGAGTGAGCCCGGCGCCGGTCGAGAGTGAACGCGGCGCAGGTCGAGAGTGAGCGCGGCGCCGGTCGAGAGTGAACGCGGCGCCGGTTAAGCCCCTCACGCTATGAATCTGCTCAACACACAAAAACTAAACACGTACAAATGGCCTTGGCAGCAAACACAATATAATGTGTAAACACGACTTCGCCCGACGCACGGCCGCCCACCGCTCAACTGTAGCGGTTAATCCAGTAATTCTGCGAAAATTTGCTTAAACCCCTGACGTTAACAGGCTAGTCGGACACTATCACTTGTGACCCGTGACACTATCACCTGTGACCCGTGACACTATCACCTGTGACCCGTGACACCATCACCTGTGACCCATGACACCATCACCTGTGACCCGTGACACCATCACCTGTGACCCGTGACACTATCACCTGTGACCCATGACACCATCACTTGTGACCCATGACACTATCACTTGTGACCCATGACACTATCACCTGTGACCCATGACACCATCACCTGTGACCCATGACACCATCACCTGTGACCCATGACACTATCACCTGTGACCCATGACACTATCACCTGTGACCCATGACACTATCACCTGTGACCCATGACACCATCACCTGTGACCCATGACACCATCACCTGTGACCCATGACACCATCACCTGTGACCCATGACACCATCACCTGTGACCCATGACACCATCACCTGTGACCCATGACACCATCACCTGTGACCCATGACACCATCACCTGTGACCCATGACACTATCACCTGTGACCCATGACACCATCATCACCTGTGACCCATGACACTATCACCTGTGACCCATGACACCATCACCTGTGACCCATGACACCATCACCTGTGACCCATGACACCATCACCTGTGACCCATGACACCATCACCTGTGACCCATGACACTATCACCTGTGACCCATGACACTATCACCTGTGACCCATGACACCATCACCTGTGACCCATGACACCATCACCTGTGACCCATGACACTATCACCTGTGACCCATGACACATCACCTGTGACCCATGACACCATCACCTGTGACCCATCACCTGTGACCCATGACACCATCACCTGTGACCCATGACACCATCACCTGTGACCCATGACACCATCACCTGTGACCCATGACACCATCACCTGTGACCCATGACACCATCACCTGTGACCCATGACACCATCACCTGTGACCCATGACACCATCACACCATCACCTGTGACCCATGACACTGTGACCCATGACACCATCACTTGTGACCCATGACACCATCACCTGTGACCCATGACACCATCACCTGTGACATGACCATCACCTGTGACCCATGACACCATCACCTGTGACCCATGACACCATCACCTGTGACCCATGACACTATCACCTGTGACCCGTGATCACCTGTGACCCATGACACCATCACCTGTGACCCATGTGACCCATGACACCATCACCTGTGACCCATGACACCATCATGTGACCCATGACCTGTGACCCATGACACCATCACCTGTGACCCATGACACCATGACCTGTGACCCATGACACACCATCACCTGTGACCCATGACACCATCACCTGTGACCCATGACACCATCACCTGTGACCCATGACACCATCACCTGTGACCCATGACACCATCACCTGTGACCCATGACCCATCACCTGTGACCCACCATCACCTGTGACCCATGACACCATCACCTGTGACCCATGACACCATCACCTGTGACCCATGACACCATCACCCATGACACTATCACCTGTGACCCATGACACCATCACTTGTGACCCACACCATCACCTGACACACCATCACCTGTGACCCATGACACTATCATCACCTGTGACCCATGACCCACCATCACCTGTGACCCATGACACCATCACTTGTGACCCATGACACCATCACTTGTGACCCATGACACCATCACCTGTGACCCATGACACTATCACCTGTGACCCATGACACTATCACCTGTGACCCATGACACCATCACCTGTGACCCATGACACCATCACCTGTGACCCATGACACCATCACCTGTGACCCATGACACCATCACCTGTGACCCATGACACCATCACCTGTGACCCATGACACCATCACCTGTGACCCATGACACTATCACAACACAGAGTACAACACATAAAGACGGTTCAACTATATCAACACGAAACACAGGATATAGGAGGGGGGGGGGGGTGTGGTAGTGGAATATTAAAAGTTGTTCAATTTCAATCAAACTTTATTGACTAGTTGTATATGAAAAGTGCTCCAACTGGTCCAAGTTTCAGCATCGCAGCGTAAATAAAAACTGAGAACAAAATAAATAAAAAAAAATTCCCTATTTTCAAAATTTAACTTAAAACACAAGTGTCAACTCAAATCATTTCTATGGCAGCTAGCATATTAGCATATAATAATGGAACTCAACTAGGGTTTTTATCCAATATATGTTTAGTTTTACTAATAAAAATATGTATAATTCCAATAAAAATTATACAATATAATTATGTATATATTTATAAAATCGATATATGGCCTCATTAAAAAAAATGAGTTTGTAGAGCCAGAAAAACTACATATAAGATGTATATTTTCATGTAAATTGATAAATAAATGAAAGCGTAGCTCCAGCTTGTTGTCAATCACTTACTAGAACAAAATAAAGTCAAAGATTGTGTCACCTGTGGCTGAGGTTGACGTCTAAAGCTATTGGCTCTATATTGTTTTGTGTTCCTCTGTGTATTAATACGAGGATGCAGTCGACATTTAAGACATTCTCATAAACGTTAAAAAAGACTCCTAATAACCATAGAATTAAATATGGATTACCAGTTGGAAGCAGAGGGTGTGTGGACCCCGGGTTACAGCCTCGAAGGTCTTGGGGGAGCACATATATACTGACGGGATGGCCTGTTCAGTCGTTAAGGCTGACACACAGGTCGATAAACGCCACTCTCAGACATCCGACAGAGCGGCCCTCCCCTGGCGGTAACACGGGACACTGAAGAACACTCCCAGTTACTCACTAATGTTAAAGATGGTTAGAACAAAACTAACTTTTGGATGTGACGTTTTGAAGCTCGTTAACTGTTTACTAAATGTAAACATTGCAGCTATAATTAAGGGAAGATGTAAAGGCTTTGATGGTGGTTAGGTAAATGGTTTGATGACTCCTGGTACAGATGCTTAACATACCCCAACACCACACTCCCAGCATACTCCAACACCACACTCCCAACATACTCCAACACCACACTCCCAACATACTCCAACACCACACTCCCAACATACCCCAACACCACACTCCCAACATACCCCAACACCACACTCCCAGCATACTCCAACACCACACTCCTAACATACCCCAACACCACACTCCCAACACCACACTCCCAACATACCCCAACACCACACTCCCAACATACCCCAACACCACACTCACAACATACCCCAACACCACACTCCCAACATACTCCAACACCACATTCTCAACATACTCCAACACCACACTCTCAACATACTCCAACACCACACTCCAAACATACCCCAACACTACACTCCCAACATACCCCAACACCACACTCCCAACATACTCCAACACCACACTCTCAACATACTCCAACACCACACTCCCAACATACCCCAACACCACACTCCCAACATACATACTCCAACACTACACTCCCAACATACATACCCCAACACTACACTCCCAACATACCCCAACACCACACTTTCAACATACTCCAACACCACACTCTCAACATACTCCAACACCACACTCCCAACATACCCCAACACTACACTCCCAACATACCCCAACACCACACTCCCAACATACTCCAACACTACACTCCCAACATACTCCAACACTACACTCTCAACATACTCCAACACCACACTCTCAACATACTCCAACACCACACTCCCAACATACCCCAACACTACACTCCCAACATACCCCAACACCACACTCCCAACATACCCCAACACTACACTCCCAACATACTCCAACACTTCACTCCCAACATACTCCAACACTACACTCTCAACATACCCCAACACCACACTCCCAACATACTCCAACACCACACTCCCAACATACCCCAACACCACACTCCCAACACTACACTCCCAACATACCCCAACACCACACTCCCAACATACTCCAACACCACACTCCCAACATACCCCAACACCACACTCCCAACACCACACTCCCAACATACCCCAACACCACACTCCCAACATACTCCAACACTACACTCCCAACATACTCCAACACTACACTCTCAACATACCCCAACACCACACTCCCAACATACTCCAACACCACACTCCCAACATACCCCAACACTACACTCCCAACATACCCCAACACCACACTCCCAACATACATACTCCAACACTACACTCCCAACATACATACTCCAACACTACACTCCCAACATACCCTGTTACGGACCCGAATCCAGCGTCCGAGCCTGGAGCAGTGACGACCACGCCATCTGTGGGTCAGCTCCCGAAACCCCCTCCAAATGGACGACGACACCTGGTGAGGACGAGGTGTACTGGCCACAAGGGCTAGTTTCCAGTCCTAATCAGCTCATAACACAGCCGCTGCTGACCTCTGGTGAGGTGGAGTTTAGACAGCAACGCCATCTATGGAGTAGATACGTCGGGCGTTTGTGTCTAAGCCGGTAAGTGACATGCCCTAGTGTGTCTCTATTATTGATGACGTGTCTGATTACAGAGTCGACATGGGACTGCTGTGATGGAAGTTGAGTGAGTCTACCCAAGGCAGCCGTCTCGTCACCTAGTGTTTGCTGCAGCAACTGTGAGTCGCCCCCCGGATGAACACTGTGGTGTTACCCTGCCTGTGAAGCGGCAGTTGAAGGATTGTCATACCCGGGACTGACTGGTGGAGACGCTTAACCACTGGGGTGTTGTGGAAAGGAGAGTGATCTGTGGTATCACACGAGGCTCCTGACTAGGGCGCGACCCTAGTATCGCTCGTGGAGTGGCCTAACCAGCGTCGCTGATTTGGAACCTGCCAGCTATCTGCTGGACTTGTGGTTGA